GGGGCTTCGGGGCCGGCGCCGGAACGCCCGAGCGCGTGTGTCCCGTGGGCTGGCCGCGAGCCTGGCAGAGACCTGCGGGGCAGGCCACCGGACAGCCAGCCCACGCGACCCGCAGAGCCGCCCGGCCTGTCGTCCCTGCCCGCCCAGCTGCTGGTCAGGCGCAGACCTTGGACTCCGTGCGCTCTTTGCCTCAGCTTCTGTATCTGGGAAGTGGGATGGGTGGTCGCAGTACTTGCCTCACGGGGTTGTCCTCGGAACAGGGACCCTTAGTAAGTGCAAAATAATTATCTGTCAACAGAATGGCACTGCTTTTCACTGAGTGACATTTCTGGCATTCGGAAACAGGTCAAGAGTTCAAATCAGCACCACTCTAATTAGGTTACTGCGCACAATCCTATTGCTGCTTATAACCTATCAAATGTTCGTCTTTGTCCCATCTCTCTCTGGGTCAGCTTTCCTTTTTTATATCGTGGAAATTGTCAAGAGTTTTAACCTCCAGTCTTCCATTAAGGGCTGCCAGAAAAAGATGAATGATGTAAACTTTCCAACACTGATTAGCTGAAAATTAAGTGGCTTGTTCAGGAGACGCTACTAAAATTAGGGTGTGCGAATGACTACAACTTGCTTATCCTTGTTGCAAGAAAATAAAATTACTACAACTTGCGCAGGGTGAAAACTGACACTAAGAACCTGGGTGTTCTGCACAGGAGGGATGGAAAGCATGCATGCAGCTCACAGACTTTCAAAACCGCATATGATTAGGTCTTAAAATTAAGGCAGAGATGGAAGCTAGGGCCGAGAGCGTGCTGCGCACTCAGGCAAGCCTCTCCACTGAGCTACATTCCCCACCTTACACACTTTAAAGGAAAATAACAAGTTTACTCTTCCCTTAAGGTCTTCATTTAAACCAAATTTGTAAAGATTTGTTTTGGGGGGGGGGGCTTTTTTACAGGCTTGATTATTAAAATGACACAACTAGGGTGAGTGATAACATGAGTTCGTGGAAAACAGGCTAGAAATTTGATAAATCTTTTCCACATCCAATATTTGTCCAAAAGTTACAAACTTCACAGATTAGCAGTTACCCAGGTTGAAATAGTCTCAACTTTTGCCTGACAAAATCCTCTACTTACACAGCTTTGTGGTCCACACTGGACCCAGTAGACTGCTTGGTATACTGAAAGAAACATTTACTGAATTAAATTGCTATCGAGTGAGATTCCATTGCTTAAGGACACCTTGGGAATCACAGGGATGCTTGTGAGATGTTACTGAAGGGACATAACTATAAATAACCCCAAGTCACCTGTTAATGAGTTGATGGATTTGGGATGACAACACTGGCCACATGTTTATTTTAAACACTAAAGTAGAAATTGCAGATATTCTTCCATAAGTTAACACCAGTAATTCTAAAAGTATGTTATTTTGCACTTAATTATGATCAGTGGTACAATTTTATCGTAGTACTCTAACTCTATGGTCTTGAAAGTTCACAAATCCCTCCCCCAGTGTCAACAGCAGTCACCTCAATATAAAATTTGTACTGTTTTTGTAACTTCTGAGTCTTGCCATAATTTTTATTAAGTATCTTAAGGTATTATTGAACACTAAACATAAGTTTTTGTCATTCTTGTTTAATACTATATCCCCAGCATAGTCCTTGATACACAGTTGGCATACAACATGCCTAGTCCTTATGTTTGAAACTGGTAATGTAGCAGTTTCATGTGTCTTCTATGAAACATTGGAGATACAGAATTTATGTCAGTATCAAAGAAATAAAGATATAATCATTTCCTCTAGGATTGAACAAACAAAATTTTGATTTATCATCTTAAAGAAGAAAGATAATAAAAGCAGATACAGACCGTATGTACAATGATGAGGTTGGCTGGGTGTATGGGCAATCTTGGTGGCCAACTTGACTGGCTTGAGAAATGCCTATGGGACTAGTAAAACACATGCCTAAGATACATCTGGGTGGGACAGAGGCTGTGATCTCAGGGGTGGTACCTGGCCTCAGGCCTGTCTTCTCTGGCTCTTTCCTTGCTTGCTGCTTTCTTGCTGCTTTAGGTGAGCAGCTCTGCTCCACAGTGGCTGTCTACCGTGTTGTTTCTACCTCAGAGCCAGTCAACCTTGGACTGAAACCTCCAAAACCACAAGCCAAAATTAACTTCCCCTCCTTTCAGTTGCAGGTGTTAGAAATTATTTTGTACCAGACAATATGGAAAGCGGACACACTAGGTTACACTGAAAATGTGCAGAAGTTGGTGGACTTTAGCCTTACGGGGCTAGTTTATCAACTCCTCTAAATAATATTTAGATTAAATTTAGTCCCTGATTATACTCACTCCAAAATGACATGCCAGATATTAAAATGCCCTTCAATTGAAAAAAGGATAGAAATTAGTAAAATACCAAAAAGCTAAAAAGAGATATGAAGTAACAGTTTGTGTTGTCGATGAAAGTACTTCACAAATACCAGAAGTTTAGGACTACCTCTCATACATCACAGTGCAATAAGAGAGATACTTGCATTTCATTTTTGTAAAAGTTACAGTATGTTATGTTAATGGCAATACTTAAAAAGTTGCCAATGGTAAAAGTATATACTTATATCTCCCCACAAGAGACCATAATAACTAAGGCCAGAAGTACAATTTGTGGTAAGAATAAAAAAACACAGACATAGAGGGGAAAAAGAGTCCAAAGTCATCACTAACATATTCAAAATATGGGGGAAAAGGATCCTTTCTTAGAAGACTTCTGTAAGTTGAGACTGCAGCAGGAATCTGTGCCCTATATGATCAATTTGACTTTTTGACAGGGGTGACCAGACAGACCCCTAAAAGGGAATTTTTCAAAAAAGAAGTCTGTGGAAAGCCTTACCATGCACCACATCACAGACACACCAGCCACGGTAATTTCTGACATTTCCTAAGAACCCAATGTTCTTCTGTTAATCAGAAAAGTCAGTTCCAATAACACTGCATATATTTTTTTTTCTTCATGGATGAAAGAAAAAAATAAACCCATATCACTCAACATTTGTGTACCCAGCATAGGTGAGGAAGCGATGAATAATTAAGAGCCTCATCCACACAGCCCATATTTAAAATTTAAAAACAAAAAAAACAAGAATAACTCTGGCCTTAAAGAGAAGTTGTTGGGGCTGGAGAGATGGCTCAGTGGTCTAAAGCACCTACTTGGAACTAGCTTGGCAAAGCATCAGGGACC